AATTTAAAGCATAAATCTGGTTTTGTTTCCCCTTTGTGTGAATCAGGGAGAGAAGTAGCAGGAACAAACTAGCAAATGAAAGGTGGGACTGCTGCTTTTGGCAGCAGTGTTGGCCCACACTGGCTCAGTGATAGTAAAAATACAGTGTAAGCACAAGCTGAGTTTTTGATATTTGCAGAGTATGTACCACTGGATGATACTGACCATGGAACTGGAATGTGTTTAAAAGGAAAAATTCACTCAAGTCTGACTTCACTTCTACAACTTATTGTTTCGTGCAGCAAAGATGTGCTTTCCCTCACTCATTAGAGCTCTGGTAACAACTGAACTGTTGCATGTCATCTGTTCATAGCGAAGTCTGTGAAATGGGAGGGTTTGCACCTAAAAATGAAAGATGTGCAGTAGATCTATTAGTAGTAGGTCAGGATAGCAAAGTGAAATTACTCTTCCTTGTTCAGGGGAAATTATTACCAGTGAAAATTAACATTTGTTCAATTTGTAGTCTTTTAGGAGGTAGGTTGCATAGGTATGGAGAAGTATTTAAGTTTTATGATAGTTTGTATTTTCATAGCATTGTTTTAAAAAAAAAAAATAAAAATCAGCTATTAGCAGCAGCTTCTGTGTCTGGTAGCTAGTAAATATTCCACTTAATTTTGAGGATGACTTCCCTGAGTTGAAGTCTTAATTTTTTGAGGTGCAGGTTAAGACTTTTAGAGGTCTTGTCCTAAATAACATAGGTCTTGTTTACTCTTTGCCACTGGCTAATCGTGATTCCTTTTAAAAAAGCAAACCAAAACAAACCAGCTTGTGTAACAAGTCATCCCACAAATGGTTCAAAACTTGATGATCTCTGAAGTAGTCAAGTAGGTTCCTACAAGATTAGTAGAAAATAGGAACTTGCCAAAGTGTTCGGACTGTGGGAGAGAGCGTGTGTGGTCTTGTTCTCCAGTCAGCCGTGAATCCACGCAGAGGAGAGTCTTTCATTACATATCCCAGCCATGGGAAAAACTTAACTGGAGTTTGCATTTCATTATATACCAAAGTCCTCAACTGTTTGATGTAAATCTGTAGGAAACTGGCTTTGATAATTATGGTGCCCATAGCCTATGCCAGCACCACTCCCTTATTTGCAAGGAATAGTGCTATCAACGGAGATAATTATCCCACGAGGTTTCACAATGGTAGTTGCCCCAGTATTGCTGTCGCTGAGAAGCATTTGAAAAAAGTATAGGGCTGCGTTGGTCCGATGTTTTGGAACATCTGGTGAACTTCAGAGGTGCCCTGTAGATCTGCAAGTGAGCACGATAGTCTCAGAAATGGTCATTCTGTCTTTGTGAAATTTAGTTTCATAGCATCATAGAATACCAGGTTGGAAAGGACCTCAAGGATCACCTGGTCCAACCTTTCTTGACAAAAGCACAGTGTAATTTCTCCTAGTTTGTTTTATTTTTTTGGAAACAACATTTGTTGTAGGATTTTTGATGGGATGGAGAGTTCCAGCTGCAGGTTGTCTTTGGTAGTGCTGGCCATATTGCAAAGCAGAAAGTTGGCATGCTTATGTGCTGGTCCCTGAGTGCATCAGGCTCCTGGAGCTACTGGAAGGCTGCAGGGAGAAGGGAAACGGGCTGATGCTTGTGGAGAGCGGTTGTGAGAGGATTCAACAAGGAGCCTCTGTTTATGAAGCTCCTGTTGGCTATGGGGAAGCTCAGTCTCCCAGCATTCAATGATGGGGAATTTGTGACCTTAGTCCTTGTCTCTCTCTTCCTCCTGTGCCGTCCCATCTTGCTGCTGCCCGGGAGGAGACAGTTGTTGCTCACGCAGGCACTGCTCAGCGGAACAGTTGAGAAAAATGAAGGATGGGAGAGGGCTGCCTCTCTCACTGTAGCTCCTTGTGCTAATGCTTAGAAAAGCTGACTTGGCGAGGTGTGGGTGGCCATGCCTGTGTTCCTCCTCCTGAAGGCTGAACCCACTGTGTCCTGTGGGACAGCTCAGCTTAGAAAGGCGGGGACTTGCCAAGAAGTGGATGTGGGTCTGCCGCTTCAAGAATGATCTCAGTCGCACACTTGCCAGGACAGGGATGCTGAGTGAGTGGGTGCAGGTCCTGTTGCAGCTGGCAAGATCCCATGGCATTGATATCCCCTTGTTTGGTATGTGGGTGGTTTAGGCAGTGGCAAGGAAAGGTGTGGCGTGAGTGCCATGGGGAGATCTGGCTTCTGGGGAACAAGTTGAGAGTCCTGGCCTAGAAAACAAATGAAGGCATCTGCTGGCTGTGGAGAAGAAAGAGGCAAGTTCTCTGACACTCGTTTTTTTCTCCTGTAAAACAAATACATATGCCTAGTAATTGTCCTAACTCCTTTTACCAATGTCAGATCAAAATAAAACTTGCAGGTCTATAATTAAAGCTTTAAAAATAGTAAAACTACCACTCAATTCCTCCTGCCTTTTTGTGCAGACAAAATTTAGAAATTGGCACAAAGAAAACCTTCATGAAAACTTGTCAGTGCTAATCAGGATGAGTGAATTAAACTTTCACTTTGCTTTTTTCCTCCTATTTAAAGTTTCCAGAAGGCTTTTAAACCTTGATTGGCTTCTTTCTTTCACTTTTTTGGAAAGATAATTAAATCCCACAGAGACCTTAAATGAAATCAAGTGGCCTTTCCCAGTTATAATTGTTTTGTGAACATGAGAAAAAACAAAATAACCCCACTAGCCTGGTTTTAACTTTCAGTGGAACTACTTAAATTCAGTACTGCTTAACAGTTACACAAATACAAAAGTTTTAATTACAAAATATAAAGCTAATGTTGATACTACTTTATATATATATGTATTTCTGAAGGAGTTACTGCTTTCTCAGGTTTTCAGATAAAAATACTTGCAGGAAGAATGTTGTCTTCAGGCAAGTTAAAACTTGCTGACAGGTTCGTGGTAATGTCTTTGAAAGAAAGCACGTGTATATATCTAGGAAGATTCAAGCTGCAGAATCAAATCATTCCTATTTTGAGGGCTGGTATTTAAGTAGCCTGTGGATCATATTGGTATATCTTTCTAGCTATTTGTCTCTTGTGATGAGGATCTGCTGTGTTAACTGAGTGCTACTCTTCTCTTGTGTAGGGTTAACAACAAGTTTCCAGATATGAGTAGGCCTGATACGAAATAACAGTGATTTACTCCTGTTGTTTTTCTGCTGTCTTGGGGAATATCTTTTAATATTCCAGAAAAACACAGTAGTTTTCCCTATGAAAATGGAAGTGGGAAAACAAGTTCAATTGTAGACCATCTGAAAAAGCTCTTAACTTAGGTGTCTCTAATATAGCGTATTAAATATGTGTTAAAAAAAGTCTGTTTTCATGGTTTAGAGTACTTAAAATTGAAATTATTTCAATCTTAAATCTGTTCTTGTTTGTGCACACAAATATTCAGCAGTCCTGCAGTTCAGGCCACTGGTATTTGGACACCATGCATGTGAAGTTTTAAACTATTTTCCTGTGTGACAGCAGGCGATCCTTGCCTGAAGTCAGCAGCCGGCCTTCCGTAGGGCAGTGCTCCAGAACCTTAACAATGAGACCACTTACTTTCATCCACTACCCAGTTCTCATTTGTTTGCAAAAGGATACGAGGCTCTCCACTGTCATTACACAAACTAGTTACATATACAGACTGTAATGATAAGAAAAAAAAGATTCTGGGTTACTGCATTGCTTTTCCTAGTCAATGGATGTCACAGAACAGCTCTTGCAGCCTGAGCAGTGAATGACTATTGGCTTTTCGCAGGGCTGTAAACAAATAGTTTTAATCTGCAGATGGTGTGGTGGATGTAGAGCTGAACTACTTTTAAGTGTATCTTTAAAAAGTTCTCCTAACTTTTATTTTAACCTCTTTTGCTTTTCAGGGAGTTAGTCATCTTTAAATCTTCCTTCTCCTTTTCAGATTCTTTTCCTGACTGTGATGTTAGCTTTTAATCATAAAGACTGTAGGAGAGGGATACATATGACCAGTGTAGAATAGATCTTACCGGTAAGACAAATGAGATTTATAAGTGGAATAACATCTGTAGTTCTTCTGGCAAAAGTTTGAAATCTCTGAGGATCAGGAATGGAAGAGGCATCTATACAGTGAAGCAAAGCCCTGAGATTTTAGACCAGCTGAGAGTTAGCAAGAATGTTACAGACGACAGTGCTGTGATGAGAATATCTACCTGTCCTAAACCTTCGGAGTGGGGTGGCGGTGAATTCAATGCTTATACATTGCATAGAAATTTCCAGTTGATCCCTTCCCTTCAGAAGGAGCTATGTCCCCTTGAGGCTTAAGACTTCTCTGAATAATTAATCTGTTGGGTCTCTGTCCTCAGAGAAAGATGAAAGAACTGTTGAAGGCTACTATGTTACACCTGATAAAAGAAGTCATTACAGGTATAGGTGTAGACACATAAATTAAAAACACTTGCATCCTCTTTCCTTAATAATAGATGAAGCCTTTAGGATTAGAGTTTCAGAGGAAGAAAAAAGGGTAAGAAAAGCCAACAAGAAAAACCTATGCGAGTAGAGTAAAATTCCCTTTTATTTAGTTTTACTTGCCCCTGAATTACTTTGTTCTTCCAAAACACTGATGTTCTTCCTCTTGTCTTCTCCATTTCTGCATGAGATGTGGGGAAGGGGGATGGTAGGGTAAAAACATTTTTTAAACTCCCTGTGTTCAGAAATACAGAGAAGATTTGTTCTTCCAAAATTCCTTTAATTCTAAAGGTGAAGAAGTATTTCTGTGGCTGAACAACTCAGTATTTAATTTGTAGTTTATTACCTTATTAATGATGTATGAATTTTCAACCATTGTTAGGTTAAAGAACATTTGAATGCTCATAATTCAAGAACGAAACTTACCATGGTTGTTAATTTTTGCTGGTGCATTTGATGACAGGATACTGCAGCCAAGTTTCTGTTTTCTTTTCCTGTATACCAAATTGGTGGTGGTTTATGCCAAACTTTTTTGTTTACTTCTAGATATAATGGATCCCTCCCTAATGGTGACAGAGGACGCAGGAAAAGCAGATTTGCCCTTTATAAGCGACCGAAGGCAAATGGAGTTAAGCCCAGCACCGTTCACGTCATTTCTACTCCTCAAGCATCAAAGGTATGTGACAATGGGGCAAACCCTGTTTTTCTGATGATCCTGCAGATATCTTGGGAGAACAACTCACATGTTACAGCTGATTTACCTTGCTGCCGGTTGATTCTGTGGTAATCAGGTATATGTGTTTTAATGAGAAGTCTGCAGTGGATTTTCTTTCTGGGGGTGTACGTCTTTAATCCAGTTACCTGTTTAAAATAGTCTTTAACCTCAAATACGAGATAATCTGACCTTTCTGCCCCTGTTCAGAAAGCTGACTTTGTCAGTGCTGACTGTTTCATCTGAGCCGTATAGTTGTGATACAGTTGTGTCCCTCTGGGCCTTTAATTTTTGTTGCTAAAAGTGATATTATATATGTTTTTACCTGAAGTTTAGTGTAAGTGAAGTAGGAAAAGCAGTAAGGCAAATATGTTAACAGTGATATACTGATGTATAGAACTGTCCAGATTAGAGTTCTGGTGGTGGAACATACTTCAAGCTGCAAAAAGTCATGCTATCACTTCTCAAAGCCTGTTTTCTAGAAGAAAAAGGTGACTAGGCCAAACTGGAGGAGGAGTCCTGTAGTGACACTCACAAAAGTGGATGGTTTGTAAGAGGCATACATCACTTTTACTGAAATACAGATTGGGGGAGGGAGAGAACCTACACCATTTTCAGAAGTGTGTTGACTAACTTAGACCAAGAGGAGATTAATGTATAGTGTAGGATTATGCTTTCTTTTATAATACATATCGTACACAGTATACACCAAAACTATACAAATGTCAAATACACAATATTAGAGCTTGTTTTTTTAAAAATTGTATAGGGCCTGCCTAGTGCAGATAGATATGTATTTGGCTTAAAAGTTTCTGTAAATATCTTTTAGTGTTTGTGTTCTCAAAATGAACACATTTGTGAGTTGAATCTTTCAGATGAAGTCAACCTTCGAAATAGGCCTGTAGTATATATTTGCATGTTGGTAACTGTGGTCTGTTGCTTAAAATGTAACAAATTAAAAAAATGTGTTTTGCATAGCTGTTGGAAATATACACATGTTCTCACTGGATAATCTTAAGCATTTGGACTGCAGATAGTATTTCGGCATTTGAGTTGCAAAATATTTAAACACCTGGCAGACACCGCAAAATATCTGGTTAATGTTCATCTGTGTTGTTATTGTAGTGCAGATAAAATGTGTGCTGTACAAATTAGTGCCATTATAAAGATAGCATAGGGTCTGAGACATTAAAGCCCCTCCTTTGAGGATTTGGATTCAGGTAGATATGTCAGGTTGAATGCATTCTTTTGCACTTTCTCTGAACCCTTATAAAAGAGCTTTTGTGTATTTATACTGTTGTCTGGGGCAAGGCTGGTGGATGTGTGCCAGAACAGTGATGCAGTGGATTTCTGTTAGTGCTCTTTTGATGCAGAGAAAGGACACTTACGTTTTAAGACAGTTTTGTAGGCTTTTCTGACATCTTAGACAGCAGAGCTTAAGTCTGTTTTACTAGGAATGGTTTCTGCATACAACTTTGTTAATGATTGCAGAAAAATAGACTAACAAAGAAAAGAGTGAGCTGCTTTGTTCTCAGAAAATAATGTGCAACTTGACCTCAAAAGCTTTGTTCTGTTCTCAGTCTTTCAGTTTAACTCTTCTTTAAGGAAGATGAAACAGTGGAAACTTGTGCTGCACAGGATATTAACAGGTTTCCTCCCTTTACACCCTTCCTTCTAACTTTTCAGATACTAGTTCTCTGTTTTCCTTTGCTTGTCTATCACTGTGTAAACCGAATCTTTGAGTAGAAGGAAACATGTTAGAGTACTGATGCTTTTTGGGTGGTGGATTTAGCAGAGGTGGGTAAAGCACTGACTGTCTCCATTTGTTTTGTCTCTGCTATGCCATGGGTGCTTGAATAAGGTGCATAGCTGTTTTTGTGTGAATTCCATTAATGCAGCAGCTCAAGAACTGTAACTGTCACCAATTTTCAGCTAGTGTGTCAGCCTGAAAACGTAATAGATCGTAAGAGGATGCTTGTCATGTTCCATTGTCCCTGCTATGCAGGTGTCAAGGACAGCTGGAGTAGCAGTGGTTTCAGTAGTAAATTTAGCTGAGCTAATTGCATATGAATCAGTGCCTTTTGTTTTTTCTACTGGAGTGCTTGTTTTTTGCCACTCTGCCTTCTGGAGGTGCCAAAGAAAATTCAGAATTCTTTGGCCTTCTGAGGGTAATGGGTATATTTTGGGGTAAAGCACTGCTTGGGGTAATAAATCTCAAGTTTTTTCAGAACACTGTTAAAATATGCATGCATCTCTTCAGCATCATGTACTTGACTTTAAACCTATTTTATTAACTCCATATTTCAGCACCATTCAGGAAATTTTCTAGTGTTCCCTATTTTATAAAACAGACTGCTTGTTTGAGACAGACTTTTTCCAGAATTGTCAAAATTGGTATTACTGTAAGAAAGGAGGCTCAAAACTTTTATGCTGTGTCTTGCTTGGTGGGGATGGGGAGAAGTGTGAGACTTCATGAACTGTGTATGAACCTTATTCAAGATTTTAATAATCCCCTTTGCTAGACCAGAGAGTTTTTCAAAATGGTCAAGTCAGAGGAGAGGCCATTCCTTGCATTGACTTAGGTCTCATGATCATCAGTCATGATCCATATGATCTGTGAAAACCTTCCTCTGACTACCAAACTCTTAAGTTTGCTACTAGCTCATCATGACATAGCTAGGATTGCTGATTTTTATTTACAAGTTATTAGAGCTATTTAACAAAATCAAAAGTTAGTGTTTATCTTGTTTGGTTGAGTTGTTTTAACTGTTGCTTTCAATGCACAATAGTTAATGCTGTGGAACTCAAGTCTAGGTTTGCTGGTGTCTGAAATGATTAAAGGGGTTTACTTGTGCAGAAATTTTCCAGTGAGTGCTAAACTTCAAGTGAGAAGGGGATGTAAGTTTTCAGAATAACCACCTGGGAATGAGGGAGTTTACTACATTTTGAGGAGGAGGAATATGGGAGGTTTTTAAAGGTTTTTTTGTATCTTGGGGTGTTTCGAGGTGTTTTGCTCTGGGGGTATACATATTTGACAGGGAAAAAGGCATCTGTAACTGAAAACAAAACCTGCTTAATATCACTGTAGAATAATACTTGAGGACAGTATTAGCTTTCTTTCAGACCTTAAGTAGGTGAATAATATGCCCTGTCTAAATAAAACTGTATGATCCTAATTTCTGCTAAGCAAAGATGTTCATGTACATGAATCAACAGATTGGATGTTGAACATCCAATCTGTTGATTCAGTGGGCTGTTAGGTTAACACTTCCCTCTGTGCAAACGCAAGTGGATCTTCACTCCTGTTTCCTCCTCTTCATAGCCATCACTAACTCCTTGTTGGATGTTATTTGGAGTTGTTGTTCTTGTGGAGCAGTGGGAGAGAACCCCCTCAGCTCCAAGTGAAGGGGGTGCTGGCAGCTGGCATGAGGTTACTGGTGATGCTGAACAATCCAGTCATGTAATCCCCCATGACTTTAGGTGTGCATGCGTTTAGCTTTCTTTATTGGTTTCAGATGCTTTGGAGTTACTTCCATGGATGTGAAGGTTAGAAAAATGACGAAGGAGCTTCGTGTGCATTTGAGTAACTTGAAGTATGGCATTAGGAAGCATTAATTGTTGACATTATCCTTCCAGGATTCCGTAGGATTACTCTGGAAGCATGAATGAATTCTGTTGTAACAGCCATGTACAGTACTGGAGACCTTCCAAAGTACTAAGTCAGTGGACAAGAGAATATAACTAGCAAGCACTAGAAGTACTTCTTTCTAAAAAGTGAAGCTTGTGCTTTGAAACCTAGGTGGTTGCGTTCTTAATACTGATTTGATAGATTGTAAATGTCTTTTGAATTGCTGCAGAGTACAAAACCCCCACACAATACCTTTTTATGGTGGTATGTCTTGGTATTTATTATGTCTGTCTGTCTTGGGAGCAAAGTTTTCCTTTGGTAACCTGTGATAGATAAAGACAGCCTCTTTTCTCCCCTATGAAATTACTATTTCAAGCTGATTGGGGAAGATCTTTCTGACTTCAAGTCCAATTACCTGCCGAGTTGGCTTCTGCTTTCTGCTGTCACAACAGCAGCTTGTATAGTCACTGGCTGGGTTCCTGCAGCTCAAATCAAGTTTCATGCTGCTACTGGAGAAGAACAAAATGCAGCCATACAAATAATTATTAGGTCGGGGAGAGAGCTGCAATTTGTGCTTTGAGTGGCAAGAGAAAATGAAAGTATAGGATTCTTGTGATTAGTTATCTACTGTAGATACTGCATCTGCTTTGATGTACTTTGTAAATTTTGACTAAAAAGACCAGAAATCCTTTTGGCATTGACAGCTTTTTGGTGTTCATTCTGGATGAGAGCTATAGAGCTCAGCTGCTGTCAGGAGGATGCTGTGTCTGTCAGTGGCTTCTCTCTTTCCTATTGGGCTTATTTATGGTGTAATCAGTTCATGGAGCAATAATTTGTTCTGAAGTAACTTAATCACAGAGGTATCTTGAGAGTCCTGAGTTGTGCAGAGGCAGCTTTTTCTTGGCTCATCAGACTGAGTCTGCTTGAATAATAGTTTCCTTGGTGTAATGTCCTTTTCTTATATTAAATAAGCATCATCTTAACATGCTAAGTCCCTATCCCCTTGCCCTTGCAAATAGTAGGGAATGGTTAGACAAAAGAAAATGGTTAGACCGATTTCATTAGTAGAGCTTAATAAATAACAACTGTTACTTGGTTTGAAGCTCTCCTTCCCGAGCTTTTGGGACCTATTGAGCAGAATGCATGTCAAAGGTTTTGGAAAATAATTTTACAGTGTTTTCTAACAAAAACCAGATGTTTAGTGAAGGAAAGGGAAATAAAAATTGCTGAGGACTACAACAATTATTTTTTTAATGACTTAATGTTGTTTTTTGTTTTCATGGTCTCCCTTCAGAGGATAGACAGAAGATCAAAAAATGCTATCCTTGTAAACTCT